TTTGAGAATTAATTTGTTTATAAATTTAACGATTTTGACCCCAAAAAATTAGGAATTTGATTTCTGAATTCAACCTATTTATAAAGCAAAACATTCATGTGTCATAAATATGCAAAAAGAAGAAAAAACACAACGAAAAGAAAAGTGACAAATGACCCATCAGTCAGTACTACAAAATTTTTTTCTAAAGAATGGAGAAAAAACTCGACTGATAATTTTGTGAGGTTCTGAACAGGGGAAAAACCACTCACCGTTAGCAAATAACGTAACAATAGATTTCAGTGCAGCTGAACGCGCTGGCGATTTCAGTGCTACCTAAAACATTCCAACACCCAGTAATCATCGAATATTTAAAATGTCAACATTAAAATATAACTAAAATCTAAAAAAAAAGACTTCGGACGAAAGACCCTACCAGTTTTCGAATAAACTTCTATCCTGTCTTATTTAATTACAACTTTCTGGCATATTATAGTCTTTTATCAGACAAATGGGCGTTCAGAAGATTACTGAAGTGACGTAAATGATCAACCTTCCAAATGGGCAGCAATTTTTCATGAGCATCTGTCAGTTGGACTGACCAGGCCATCAAAGCGTCCCATAATGCTGTCGAAGTAGCTTGGTGAACTGAAAATAATGTGAACTAAAATCATAGTAAAAAAATTTCATTTATAAATTAACAATTGCTGTAATCCAGTCAAATTAATTATATTCATAAATCAGCAACATCATCCACCAATCTTCACAGTCTGCCAATTTACTGTCTCCTCAGCGCAGTAGACGTCTATGTATTATAATTCATCTCCAGTGAAGTACTACGGTTACAGTCTTGAATAAACCAGGCCAAACGAACGAAATATACATCAAAAGATTCACAAAAAGATACACCAAATGAGTTTCTTTTTCTTTCAGACAGCGAAACTAATAAAGAGAAGAGGAACCTTCAGAAACCAACTGCGGATTTAGCCTCTGTAATACATCGGCAGCAATAGTCTCGCAGGCCTTTCTGTCCTTTGATCCATGCGAACTAGCCAATTTTAGTGCCTCTAGAACACTGATGCGTTGGCCAACAGATGAGATTTTCCCGTCCGAGCCTAAAAAGCGATGAAGCTTTAAAACTGTGCACTTAAGCAGCCAATATTTCCATACGTGGATTAACTATATTAAAAAACAATAAAAAATTAAAATATTTTTGATAAACTGATAGTCAAGTTTTTAAATTTATTGTTTTTATAATAGTGGCTAATGAATCGGGATCCTGAAGCGTTAGGCGACGCCGCTCCAGTCAACCAAACCGTAGAAAAGTTACTGGATGCATTAATGAAGTAATAACTGTTCCTCGAATTCCAGGTATAACAGAGGTGTGTACTTTCCAGCTCTGAATGATCTATGTTCAGTGCTTCATATTAAAATTTCCTCGGGAAGAGGAGGGGAGGCTGGACGGGGGAGGGGAGAGTCGGTCGAGACGGAAAACTCAACTTCTCCGGTCCTTTGCTTAAAAGCAGACAAAAATCAGTGGTAACGATAATGGAAAACCTGAATAAGTTGCAAATATTCCATCGACCAATCGCTGAAGAGCTGCAGCATCCGTAGTTTTTCTAGCTATCACAGCAACGCATAATACAGCGCGTTCGCGAATTTCATCACTCGATGATATCAAAGAGGCTGAAAGCAGCAAAATCCCCGTTCATACCAATTTTCGCTTGAAAAAATAAATCATTTGATTCGGTAACTAAACAAAGTAGAACTTTTCAATTTGCCGGTCGGTAGGAAGAAAAACACCTAAAATAAAATCAAAAGTCAATGAAATCCAGCGGATATTGGATCTTGGATCAATGGATTTCGCCTAAAATCAATGAATTTTAAGCTGTTTTTCTCTTTCTTCCTCCTATGTTGATTTTCATAGCTTTTTCTCCATTCGCCTACTGTTTACGTACTCTTTTGAATATTTGCTTCATATTCAAATTGTGTAGCAAAAAAGCGAAAAACACCCGGACAATCAGTAAACAGTTAATGCCATATTGGTGATGTCTCTGGTACATTTCCACAGATTGGGTGCAGCTGTATTAGGTCCTTTATTTTTAAACCACATACTTTTAGCTGATACTTATCGTTCCTCAATTTTTGAGCGTTACCTTTTCACAGTTCGTCCGAGAGTTATCGCTTATTTCCTTTGATAAAAGTAAAATCGAAAAAGCAAAAAAAAAAAAAAAATTCTGAGCAATGATTTAGGCCCTCACCCGAACTTTACATAGGATAGAATGAACTATGCTTGTGCTTGGTCAAATCCTCTTTAATTCATGCATACGGACAATTGTAAGACAATCAGTTCCTTCCTTTCTAAGCGTATTACACCTCACTTACTGTGGTACAAATTAAGTTATATTAATAACTGGCAGAGGAAATAACCTGCAAGGATTTTGTATAAATCGTTGGCACAGGATGATAGATCGATGGCGACATCTCCCAGCAAATAGTATATAACTGAAATTCTCTTAATACATCTAACAGTACATTTAACAATAAAGGGATAGTATACATATAGTGAATATAAAAAATAAGCCAGTGTTAGAAGTTTAAAGCAAATCAGCTAAGCACTGAGCTGCATCTCAGTAAAATCGAGGTTTTTTTTACTATAAAATTCATACGATTATGTCAGTACCAATTAATTCGATAAATTTTTGTATCATTAGAACCAGCCAACACTCCCAGTCAACATAATATCTCATCGGGACATCGTTCAGTGAGAGGTGATGATGATTAGCTCATACCAGGGATACCTCAAAACGCCGTCTTGTCAAGTTTTTTTTTTTTAAGGGAACCCGTTGAGCATGTAATTTCTAATCCTTCTAAGCGAAGAAACGAACGACAGAATCGCCAACAGTCTGACTACCAGGTAATGCAGCAGTGGGTGAAGTAATTGCGAACGTTGCCAAATACGTAACTGAACGAAGAGATTACGAATTACAGCTATCTTGAGTTATCAGGTAAGTATCAAACCAAAAACTGACAGGTTCCGCAAAATTTGCGTCAAAAATTAAAGCTGAACAACACACAATTCCCATTTTCGCACATTTCAATTTTTTCGGAAGCGTAACAGCCAGCCAATATCAAGCATCTGTGCGTTTGAAAGACTATGGCTGCCGATGGTTTTCTCAAAAACAGCTGTGAATAACAACCATACCATATTTATACTGTGAACAAAATCGCACCATATCTATACATTTGGAAAGCAAACCAACCAAAAATGGCAATTTCGGGATTGCGCAACATTGACCTCTTTATCGCAGGAAGTAGTTCGTTTAGAAAATTTTCCAAATCAATTTGCTTGAATTTTTTGCTGCATGCCGACTGCAAAGAATTTAAGAAAAAAGGAGCATGCAAAACAAGCGTTA